AATGACGATACGCCCGCAGAAGGTAGCCCCGAAAATACGATATCAGAATGCACCAAAAAAAATGACATGACACAAAATGCTGCGGTGGAATCAGATACTTTAGTTATTGCCACATATGTTGATAATGACGAAGGTGATTCTGCTGGCAGTGGTGGTGTAGTTGATATTTCTAGTGCGGCGCAAAATGAACCCAGCGATATAGATCAGCTGTTGTCCATTGTGCGTTTATGCGATGGTCCCTCGACAAGTACACAAGAGCCCAGTGATGAATTGCATAAAACAAAAACTTCCACATGTGTAAGCAATGTAATAGCCAACATAGCACCACCTTCTGTTCAGAGTGTTACAGCAACAGCACCGACAATTAAGGAAACAACAAATTCGTCAGCTTTGACAGTAGCTATTGATAGTGATGAATTGCCATACGCAACAAGTACCAGTTCAAATTCCAAAACACAGTCATCACAGCAATCTCCCAAGCCAACAATTTCAGTAAAATGCTTCAGCCCAATGTTAAGAGTCCAAACAATGCAAAATGAGACATTGCCATCACCAAATGTTTGCGTCGTTACGGAACGACGAAAGGAAAATTCGGAAAGTGATAATGTGGCTGGTCCACAAATGCAAAGTTCAAACGATGATAATCCAATTTGTCTGCCAGCAGTAGCAGACTTGGATAGAGGGACACGTGCAGCAATGCCGGAAGTTACAATTGAGGAGCTTACGTCGGCGTCGGAATCGCGTGCGCCATCACCTGCCAATTCCAGCGTTACCAGTGTGTCAACACTTCGGGCATCAAGAAGTGCGATTGGTCGCCGTGTTGTATGCTTGCGTCATATTCGACGCGCACCCAAAGAACCAGAGGAATACATGGATGCATTGTTTCCGCATATACGCGAGGCACATAACCAAATACGCAAGACGCTATTACATGCGCCGCTCACTGATGTCAAGGATAATGCATTATTAAAGCGTAAAATGTTTGAGGTCATTCGACACTATATCGGGTATAACGCGGCTGCATTTATAAGTTTTGAAGGTCTTACAACTTTATGTGGTATATTTCTCTTTTCAGTGGTTGTAAAAATGAGTTTGAACGAGTTACAGCATCGCTAATATTGTGCCGCCGGCTAAAGCGAAATATTATACGTCTGTTGGATTTGTTCCATGATATTTGTTCGTCTAGTCGAGAGGTACAAAAAACAAAAAAAAATGATGGTACCATGACCACTACTTAATACTTGTAATATTACTATTTTTTCACTTCAGGATCCTGCTTATTTGTATCACATAAGTCAATTGATTGCAGTGTACAACTCGCTCGAAATAAAATTATCATCCAATTTGACAAGATTACAGAAGTGCGCTTTAATCCATCGTATAGCCCACATTATAAATAAGCACCTGTTGGTGAAGGATGAAGTAAGCATACAATTATTTTAATTAAACTTTGCTTTTATTGATTATTATAACTTTTATATTTAACCTAGTCGTTGGCCAAGGAAAATGTACTCAGAATGTTTCTACATATGCCCGATATGTATTCGGCACGTTTTATAATGGAACCACTTTTTAAGTATGTCACTACTGATCTCATACATCACATTTATATTGCACAATTCAATACCATTTCACTTAATTTTCGTTTATCCTCACAGCACCTTTTTAGCGGAAATTCCAACAAGCAACAATGCGCGGTGTCAAAGAGAATTGTCGGATAAGAAATTTGTACAATATATTATAGTATTGCATCTTTGGAAGGAAATGCTGCGAAATCCTCTTGAGCAGGTTGAATTAATTAACCGCGCACAGCATTTTATGTGTCCCACTAAAACGTTGCATACGAATCCCATGTATGTTAATCACTTGCCAACAATTCACACACGCAAACATGCTGTGAAAGATATTTTGAATAGCTTAAAATATTTTCACGATTTAAAAAATGTAAGTTGATAGTATGGTTTATAATCACTATTTAAACTATAATCTTGAATTTGAAGTTCATCTTATTTTTACATTTTATTACTCCCACTTTCAGGCCGCAATTTGTGATGATACTTTGGAAGATGGGGATGGCGACATTGAAGTCGTTATTGTGAGTATCAAATAAAATATATTATTAAATATATTATATATATATAATATATTAATATATATTAATAAATTATAGTATTTCATATTAGCTATCCGGTAAAGCGGTGTCGCGCTCGAAATATTAAAGCCATTATCCACTACGGACTATGCATGTTGATTTAAAAACACTTTGGTCTGGAGTTGAATGCTTCACTAAAGGCGGACCTCCATAGCATGCGTATCCGTATGCGTGCGTTTGACATTTACGCTTAGAAATCAAAATTCATACAATTTTCTTACATTTACATGCGTTGCTATGTAGGTGCACGCATGCGTATACGTATGCTATGGAGATCCGCCTTAACAGGCTAACCTAATTCACGCACGTCGCCAATTTACTGCCAAAAATTTCTCATGCGCATACAACTTGTATGGGACCAACCGAAATTGAACGGCGGGCGTATGAAGCTAACTCAATTTGCAATTTTTGTTCTGAGTGACATTTAGATTTGATTCGCTCAATGAAATCAAATACAAACGCACGCAAGCCAATTTCGGGTGACGTAAAAAAATAAATTCTCGGCGTGCGTTCCAAAACGCAACATTTGTAGACCTTTATACTTCTGTACTTTACGTGCAACCGGACTTCCGTTAAACCTAAAACGGACGGCAGCGTTTGTTCGGATTAACTCGGACTTAATCCGGGTCAACTGCAGTTAATTCCCGAGTTGATCCGGATCAACGCTGTCGCCTCTTTATACTTTTACGGATCAACATCTGTAAAATGCACCACCAACGTCCGTAACACAAAAAAAACTCGGGTAACTAGTAGCCTTTTACCCGACCAAGGGCTGTTTTTTCGGCGATCTAACCCCGTTTAGGGTTGTACGTCCATAGGTTACTTCTTCTTCGCATAATTCTGTTCAGGACTGGCATTGAGTCAAACCCTGGACCAGAAACATATACCTGCTGCAATGGTGTGTAAGTCCAGGATACTCCGTAATGTGACATCGGTCTAGTACAACAACTGCCTTAGCTGGTGTCACTTTACGGCATGCTCAAGACTGCGCACCACGCGAGATTGGACGAGGGACTATGCTGTGCTGCTCGGTCGCAACCCCCAACTGCGACGCCGCCCACTGACACCATAGGGCAACTGCCTCAGCAGCAGCAAGCACAGCATGTGGCGGCACTGCAACACACATCACTAACACCCCACATTCCAATAAGTCTCCCTAGTCACACGAAGATGTTACAATTCAACTGTAACGGACTTCAGAGCAAGATTAATAGCTGCGGTCCAAGAGATGAAGCTGCACGGAAATTTAACACTGTTGAATTGCGCCGGATACAACGTGCACCGTCGAGATCGCGAGCAAGATAATGGTGGTGGCTTAGCGTTCAACATGCACCGCACAGTGCAGTATCGTCTTATGGAAGCAGACATAGACCGCAGGGATACCATCCTAGAATTTCAGGGAATTGCTATCCGGTCAGGCGATGTTGAGTTCGAAATATTTAACGTATATATACCCCCTGCCACCAGCTGCCCGGCAGGATATCACCCTGAAATAGATGCGCTCCTCAGAGATGAAAACCGTATGGTAGTTAGTGACTTCAATGCGCACCGCGATCTTTGGCATTCAAGCCTGTCAAACGATCGTAGGGGAACACAATTGGCTGAGCAGATAGACGATTCGACATTTTGCACAATGAACGACGACGCACCCACCAGGATTATGGGCAGCTGCTGCAGCTCGCCAGACTTAACAATAGTCAGCGCTTGTCCGATCGTGCTGACTTTAATCTGCCCATAATCATCTCGATTGATAAACTAACTGACTTTGCTACCGCGGATCACCGGACCTATGTCAACTTTTCTAAAGCTGATTGGAAGGGCTTCGCGGATGTTACTGAAAGTGCACCCACACCAACCGACGTTCACCTAGGTGAGCGTAAATTCCGCAGGGTTGTCACTGCTACTGCAGCCCGCTTCATCCTATCGAGATGCATCTCGGACCCTCGTCCGAGTTTTCCTGCTGAAGCGGCTGTCCTATCCGATGAGCGCGACAACCGTCGTCAGGCCGATCCCGGAAATCCCCGTATTAGGGATCTCAACTCGGAGATTCGGCAACTTGTGAACGTACATAGGCGGAAGAAGTGGGAAGAGCATCTGAAGACCTGCAACTTCGCCTCTGGTGTGAGTAAGCTTTGGTCAACCGTGAAGTCATTGTCCAACCCTACAAAGCGTGACGACAGAGTTAAAATAGACTTTGATGAACACGCTTCGTCGGACCCGGAGCGGTGCGCGAGCTATTTTAGCCGGCAGTTCATACTGCATCCTCCGGTGGATAAAGCCAAGCATCGAGTGACCAGAAGGCTGCACAAACTGCCAAAACCTAGTACGCCTCTTGTTTTCGTCAGCGTCGAGGGTCCTACGGGAGTAGTACGGATGTCCTCAATTTGTCAATGGCCTCTCTCGTCATTCCAGACATCTGGAAGATGGGGAGAGTTGTCCCACTGCTCAAACCGGGGAAACCAGCCAACAAAGTTGTCCCATAACCCTCCTTTCCCCGACACTAGAGGCCTTGCTACTCCCGTAATTTACAAACCACCTGCCCCCAGCGAAGCATCAGCATGGATTCCGTAAAGTGCACAGTACAAAACAGCACATAACGCCATAAATACCCAGATAACTCTTGAGCTAAACCGAAAGCGCCCTGTGAGAGAACCATTCTAGTAGCGCTAGACCTGTCTAAGGCGTTCAACAGTGTCAGTCATTCAACGCTACTAGAAGACTAGAGGCCTCCTCTCTCCCACAGGGACTCAAACGGTGGTCGGCGAATTATCTGAGTTGTCGTCACTCGTCAGTAACTTTTAGAGACAAATCGTGCAAACCGAGGAAAATAAAACGGGGGGTTCCACAGGGTGGTGTCCTTTCCCCATTACTGTTTAACTTTTACATTACAAAGCTCCCTCAACCACCTGAACTAGTCTCGATAGTCTCTTATGCTGACGATTGCTACATCATGGTGTCCGGGAATGGAATTAATGACTTGTGCTCGAAAGTAAACGGTTATTTCGCTTCTTAACTGCACGGAGCCTAACCCTCTCCCCTTCAAAATCCTCTGCCACACTTTTTACCACCTGGACGAAGGAGGCCAGACCCCAACTGGGAATTCACGTCGATGATACACCAATTCCGAGGGTGAACAACCCGAAGATACTCGGAGTAACATTCGGTAGTCTGCTCTCCTTCTCGACGCATATAACCGCAATTGTTAACAAAGTACAAAACCGCAACAATGTCCTCAAGTCGCTAGCCTGCAACACCTGGGGCTGAGACAAAGAAACGTTGCTGGCAACGTACAAGGAAATTGGCCGGCCGGTTCTGACCTACGCTGCGCCCGTGTGGTCACCGGGGACTAGTAGGACGCAGCGGATGAAGCTGCAGGACAGCGACAGGATGCTTTTTGATGTCGCCGCAACACCACCTGCACGAGGGGGCCCACATGCTCCCTATTAAGGAGCATAACAGCATGCTCTGCAAGCAGTTCCTGGTTGGGAGCCACAGATGTGGTCACCCAAACAAACTACTCGTTGCAGATCAGCCTTCGGCCAGGCACATCAGGAGGCGTCTCTACGAACTGACGGACGAAGTCCAGAGGTTCATTAAACAACCTTATATAGAAAAAATGTTTTTTCTTAACAGCGGTCGTCCCTCGGCAGGCAATGGCAAACCTCCGAGCGTACTTCTGCCAAGAAAAACAGCTTCTCACATAAATACGCCGTTCGGAGTCGGCGTAAAACTGTACGTCCCTCCGTTTTGTGTGACAACCTTTTACTTGCGGAAGTTTCACAACGTAGTTTATCTGTTTAAATAAACACCACTAGTATTTCCTGCAAACACACATCGATTTACATCTTTTATCTCGCCTCCGACACAGAATTGTTTTCGTACAAAATTACGCAAGAATGCTTACTCGTTCGTTTTTAGGCATGCCATTGTTACGAATTTCGAAAGTTCGAAAATACGATCCGGATTGCAGTATCCCAGCCAGCAAAAAAGCCGAAAACCGATCCGAAAAAGGACAAAAAAGTGGATGAAGTGCCGATTTTTGTCCGTTTACTGATTCCATTTCCGGATACTTTGACGATCCGTTTTCCCACTAAAGTGTGCAGCAGAAACGTACTTACAGACAACAGTATGTAAAACGGATACGTTTTCGTCTGTTTTTTCTGAAATTTGTCTGATAGAATTTTTCGTTCAACACGCTTTCCTTCTGCACTTCACAGATACTTTTTCATGGTTCAAAAGAAATAAAATAAAATTAGGAAGCGCCTGACGGAATTCGAACCCGGCACCTTCTGGAAGCTAACGAATAGCGGCACACTCCTCTGCACGCTCTGCCACTGCCGACTACGCATGTATGCTTTCAAATGTTTAGCTTAAGCAAATAAAATACAATTATTTCTTTCAAATCTTTTCATCTTCGTTTTCGAACGTTTCGAAAATTGAACTAAACTGCACTGTCGGCAAAATTTTCGTTTCTTTGCTGGCTGGGATACTATTGGTATGATTCGTAGCAAAATCCGAATACGAAAGAGTTGTACATGTAGGGATGTAAGTTAAAATGTTTTTCGTCAAGTTCCTTTTGGAGATCTTCCTTAATGTGACCGATTGTTGTAAGGGTAATTTTTATCTGCATGTTTTCCTCCTTAATTACCAAGCTCAGAATTCGCATCATAAATTCGCTTTCAATCTTTTGTGCCTCTTTTCTTGTTTTTTTTTTTAATCTAAATCCATGTATTACCTTGTTTGAAAATATAATAATATTCCTTATTTTTTTTTTTTAAAGCATAGCTCATTATCTAACAAAAACGGTATAAATTTATATTTCAAACTTTGTGCAAGAATTATAAAAACTCTACAAAATTGCATCTACATTTTCAACTTTTTAATCAGATTTTGCAGAATATTTTTGAATATGCAGTTTTATAGTGTTTTTGATAATCTTTTCC